TATGAAGCCCACGGCCACATCATCCTCTGATGTTGGTTCTGGGATGAGTACCTTGCGGTGGGTTGGCGTGAAGTGAAATGCAATTGCCGGCGGGGTGATTTTGATGGACAAATTAAAGTTGTGTGTTTATGTTTCGGTTCATCGATTGGTCGGCTTGCTCTTCTCCTCTTCTAGTTCACCTCGTTCCCATCACGCCCCCTAATGCACCGTTTATCGGGGACAGGAAACGAAAATCCTGCCATGCATAAACCACTCGAATGAATCGATGCATTTCCGCTGTGCAATCAAATTACAAACATTTGCTTTTTTATCTCAATCGGAATTCAGAATAGCTAAAAATCGGGCACGTGCCATTTCGCCATAGGAGTGAAGTGGAGTGGAGTGGAGCGGAGACGCCTCGATTCGATGTCCATTTATATTTTATTTCCATTTTGGAATATCCAACTTTTTTGTACATATTTGCAAATTCGTGCGACTGTGGATGAACGACTGTGAATCTTGGCCAATAATTGAAAGTATCATCAAAACTCAAAGCATCGCTGGGGAGACTGAATCGACACATGCATTAATTGCCCTAAAATGAATACTTTTCAGACCAGTTCTAACTAATGGACTACTATACTATACATATGTATGTACACACATACAGGTACAATACATAGTTAAATTTGCCGGGGAATCATTATAGTTACAGCTTCTTACAGCTGCCAACCAGTCCTGAGGTTGGGAGTCGACTCTACAACACCCAGTATATGCTCGGGTAATTGTGAACTCCGTCGGTCTGTTTCAGTGTGATATCACAAGAGTCTGCCCACATAATCCGCTTGCTATGGGACTATGAGACTATAGTCTCTGCGAACTACTCGTTTTGCCTTTTGATTCTGATCCGGAATATATAGTATCGAAAACACTTCCTTCTGGCTGTTTATAGGTGCATACATATATAGAAGCGTATATGTATATACTAGGGCAACCCACATTTACTCTTTGGGTATAAAAACACTTTACAAAAGCGACAGACTGGGATTTTTTTGATGTAGATATTCACAGTTAATAATTGAAAGAGCTGTCCTTTTTATTTTATCAGAAAACGGGATATATGTATGTATGTACTTATAATTGTTTAATGCCCATTGAAATTCGAGATCCTTCACATGGATGAGGGCATTTAGTTACAGTTGTATGACTCTATTAGTCATGGAATTTTTTCAATATCGCTAAACCCATACGAGTAAACCAAGAAGAGAGGACCTGCGAAAATCCCTATTAAGCCGTCAGCGTCAACCTCTGATCAGGTTCCAGCCACCTTTTAATGGCTGTCAACCCATTTTTGGAGTTGAAAAAGAAGACTTAACTTTTAAAAGCTTTTCACATCGTAGGTGGAGGAGCCAAAATCCTAGACTCGTAAACCTCTGTCCGTGGTTGAATATGGGACTGCTGTCTGTCTGCCTGTGCTTACCGCAAATGAGAACTGTCTTTGGTCAGCCGAAGCCCTGCTTCCAGTTACCCGCTCAGACTCTCACATCAAACCCTTTTCAATGCAAAGCGAGACCTAATTTGAATAATTTATTTTTGTCCAGCACGGCCAGTAGCAGCGAGAGCAGGGAAAGCATTAATTAAAATGAATTCAGAGGCCACATGTGGTGGAGACAAGGGCGACAGACTCGTGCCCGACAGAGACAGACGGATCATTGGGCAACCTGTTAATCTGGTGATGCAGCTGCGACTGCAGTGGCCATAGTTCCGCAACGCAATTTCTCGTTGGGCTGATTAGCATTAGCCCAGGCTCCGGCGGTGGACATCTGAGCGCCATTGTCCATTTCGCTCTTAATGCAAATCTAATTTTTGCCTAACCCAGAGCCAGCGACTGACATTGGTGTGGGCTTCCATTTTTGTGGGGGGCTGGCAAAGTGGAGCCAATGCTTTAATCCACCGCAAATGCAATGAGCGGTGCAGCTGCTGTTAATTAACGTTTGTGTGACAGGCAGTGCCTGACACAGCGGGCATGATGGGATATCGCACGTTGTCAGATTATGTGGTATGCTCGGTGCCTGTAATGTGGCTGGTGTGGCGGGAAATAGGCCAAAACATTAAAAAGGAAACACACATTCACACACGCACACACAAATTCTACCTGATTCGACGCAGAAATACATGGATTTGTATAAATTTAAAACACTTTTACTCAAATGGAGAGAGACAGAAGGGCACCGATTAGACCACAACTTCAACTTTAGAAGTGCAAGGATCAAATATCCTCAAAATCATTGGAAATGTATACTTACACCTGACTGTCATACGTATTTTTATAATTTTGAGGTGATTTTGCGGTCAAGTAAACTAGTTGAATGGTAACTCAATAGTTGGGTTTTTGAATTACAAGTCTAAAAGAAAGATGAAAACTATACATGTATGGATATACCTGCTCGTATATACGTTGGTATTTATAGATATGTATGTATTTCAGACTGACCCACAATAGAATTACATTTTGATATGGGTCCAGTTATTTGACAGTCACACGAGACACTCCCCAAAAGCTGCCCTCGTAAATGAAAAAAGTTGTGACTCTTGTCCGAATTGCAAATGCATGCGAGTCGAGCAGTGTCAGGAGTCTTAGCCACCTCCAAAACGGATCTGTTGACAGCATCGCACATACTTATACTTACCTACATAGTGAACACTTTTTAAATATGCATGAGCACCTTTTTGGTCGTTTTTGGGCGTCAGCTTGTGCTGGCTGGCACACTCGGCGCATACTTGATAACAGAAACCTTATTTCTACGCCGCAGACCACGGAGCAAACGGAGTTTGGGTGCGAATAGATGGAGAGTTAGAGTGCAGACCCAAAATAAATTTATTGCAGCGCTTGACAAAGGACAGCGACAACGAAAACCTAATGGAATTAAGACCTTGGATTTATGGGTATCTTCTGTACCGAATTGTGATGTTTACCTTTCTAATGAACTTAGATGTCAAGTTTTTGATGCTCGCTTAATGTTGCAGGGTCAGTGGCGTCTCTGTCAACATCATCATATTCACTGCCGGTCATCAATCATACGATAGGTGGGGGGTTCATCAATTACTAATCTTCAAGTAGTCCATAAAACCTATTGAGGCAACCACCCGGTAGCCACCTGGTGACCCATAGCTTCAATAGAACACTTTAAAATATAGAAATAACATTTCTTTTTGCTCATTTCGATGGCCAGACATATTAAAGCCAACTCGTGTAAGGAGATACTTTTCCTCTTAGAAATCCTTCCATACGATAACATCATGGATTCCCCTACCCTATTCCCTACACCTACTACTGACATTTAATTTAATTTCTACAGAATAAACTGGAAGTAGTAGCTCTGGCCACTATCTGCCCTTTCATTCACAATCTGTGGATAACTTCTGTGGACTTTGTATTTCTGACTCCAAGAGCAGTAGTAAATATTTTGATAAGTCAGCGACATATTTTAGAAGCAATACTGTTCCTTCCCAGCTGTCAACAGACTGCTGAATAATTAAGCCAGATAGACTTAAGTTTAAACTTTAAAGCTAAGTATTTTAAATAATAAAAACCAAACATGGATCCATCACACCAACGTATCAGGGACCACGAAATGTTCAAGCAGTGTACTTCTCAAGATCAAGGTTAAAAATCCATAAATTTGGAAAGCAAACTGGTACCCCATCATTCCTGTTTCCCAGCATAAAGAAAGCTTGCAATAAGCGCAAAATAAAAATACAAAAAATACAAATGACGTTTACAACAAAAAATGTAATGCCGACACACAAGACCCAAAGGAGAAACTATCTACTTGTGAATGCAACCAGCCAGCCCTATTCATGCTCCTTTACTTGCCACCGCACGCACATTCGCCGCTTTTTGGAAGAACGTGTTCCGCTGATTGGCATGCCCGAGCTGCATCGGGCGTAACGTCCAGCTGGCGATTCCAGTCCGCCTACACAGAGAGCTGAGGAACACCGACACCGTCGGGGAACATCGTCATCGGTGAGAGAGGAATGTGGCGCGTGCCGCTGGGTGTGTGGGATGATCAAAGGCTTGACGCTTTTGTAATGAATGTCGGATGGTGTTTTGTTAATCTTGAATTCTGTTCCAGCCACAGAGCGTTCTCTGACAAAGACGGCGCGTCGGGACAGAGCTCCTGGGTGCTGGGTCCTGGGGGCCGTGGCAGTACTGAAGCACACCTGCCGCTTTCAAGCTCGAAAAATGTCTGTTGATTTAATTTTCTTCTTCGAATTTATGTTTGTGTTGCTGCTGCTTAGGCACGTGTGTGGGAGTGCGTATGTTTTTGTGTACTTTCGAAAAAGTGCTACACAAAGAAAACGTGCAAAATGCCTCAAAAGATGCATGTGGAGTCGATATGGAGGGACTGGCAGCATCATCATTCTGTTCTCTTTCTGGTTGCTTTTGCTGTTGCTTTTGCTGTTGCTTTCGTTCCGCTTGTTTGCCATTTCGCTTTTGAAGTCCCCAGTGACACCCAGGCACCCACGCAGGACCCTACATACACATGTACATACATCCAAGCGTACACATACCCATACAGCAACAGCAGCGGGAAACTTTTGAAATGGAGAGAAAATGGAAATTAAATGAACTTGAAATTCTGAGCAGCTTAGACGAAAGACCAGTACCGTAGCATACATATGTACATAGATATGTACATGCATATTGCGCAGTCGACCACGTGAATCTTTTTAAGGTGTTCAAAATTCTCAACAATTCCAGCGATCCCTCTGCACCAGTACGTACATACTATATGTGGTCCACTAGTGCCGCGGCCAAACACAGTAGGAAAGATATTTATGACTTAACCACTTTTGTTGAAACACTGATTGCAGACTACCTAAACCACAAATTAATGGGTTATTCAGGGACTGGGAAGGACGAGTACCTTCATGTATATTTCTAGTGTTTAGGGTATGACGAATATCATCAGGAACAGCCAAGCTTACTCTTCAAGTTACCATACGTTATCATTGGACAGAGAAATCTTGTATTTCCATCAGATATTCACGTTTATATATTTTTATTTTTAGTTTTTTTTTCATAACAAAACAGACGCATAATAACCATTATACATTACAAAGAATATTATTTTTTCTGTGAAAAGTAGCATGTGTACATCTAATTGCGGATAACCATCAGAACACTCACTTCATCCAATAAGTTTTGTATACTATAGCGGGTACCTGAAAGATAGGTAGGAAAATCCAGAAATATTAGGTAAAACCTGCCAGTCAAAAGCCCTTTGATGTCTTACCTTTCTCGATCTCTACCATGTCACCGATATTTAATGTGCAGCGATCATCTTCCTCCATGCCCGGGACACTGCAGTCCATGCCAAATTGACCAAAGAGAACAACGAATTTCTAAGCCAGATGTGAATGAGATTTTTAGAGATTATTTAGAAACATATATGAAAGGATAGAGTGTAGTGTAGAGTGCATACCAGGGAAAACCCCTTAGCCCGCTTCGTCTGGCGACTCTGCAGCGGCTGGAAGCGCATATATCCCACAGTGGCCTTGTCCTTGGTGTCGTAGAATGCGTACTCAATGTCATCCAATTTAGTGAAAACTAATTCACCCGCAACAGCTGCAAATAAAAGGATGAGGACAGTTAAATTCCGATATCTACATATTGCCAATGGCTCTAAATAAAAGGAAATACGAACAGCATACGAGGGTGCATGCAATTGGTGACCAAAGAACAAAGAAATATTATCTCGAGTATGCATTCGATTGATTAAGTGATATACTCGTACTCACACACACTCTTTCCTATTCGACTCCCGCTGCAGTCTTCCAAACTAACGATTGGCTGATTGCTATTGTAGCCTCGCAGCCAGTTCATGAGATGCATGGAAGCAGCCTGGTGGTCATCCGACATGCTTGGGCTTGGTGTTGATGTTGGTGTTGGAGGATTTGGTGCGCCAGAGTCCGTGCTCATTGGTGTTATTGGATCGGGATCGGACTCCAGCTCAGTTTCTGTTTCCGTGACTGTCTTTTGTTTCGCCTGTTTTTTCTTTCTTCGCTCCTTTATTTTAGGGACAGGAGGTGGAGGCATTAAGGCAGCCGCTGCTGAATCTGAATCCGTTTCCATCACGACCGCTTGGCTTGTTTTTTTTGGTCGTCCGCGTTTCTTGGTTGGTTTTACGGCATCGATGTCTTCCACTTGCTCTATCAGCTCATTATCGTCCCACCTCAGAGGGGCGACTCCCAGAGAACTACATTCAGAAGGTTTTGGAGGTTCGAAATTTTCTGTAATGGAGGAGGGAGGGGCATGGAGGGGCTCTCCTGAAAGCCGCGGGGTGCTACTGCACAATGGGGGCCTATTCATCAAAGAAATTTTGGTCCGTCTAGACATACTAGACTGCTTCGACGGTTTAGCTTTCTTCGCTTCATATATCTCCGCGGATTTGCAGAAGAAGTCAAACTGCCTGGGATCCGATACAGTATGGCACCAAGTGTTCTTCAGTGGTACCTGACCACGCCTTGACCGCCGAATGGCTGCGAATTACCAAAGAAAATGATTGAAAATATAGCAATAGGGCATTATCGTCCGGCACTACTTACCAGACTCACTTCCATCCACTTCCACCTCGTTATGTATGTAAGAGACCTTTAAATTGTTTAGCTCCCTTTCTACCTTTGATTTGGCACGGGGTGCCCGCGCCTTGGGTTTCTTAAACAGCACCGCTTCCTCTTCCACGACGGCTCTGGCCACAGCCTCCGGATCAGGATCATGCTCAGGATCATTAGTTCCACGTGCCAGAGCCTCGAGTGCGGCCCGACTCGTGCTCGGCTGCTCATCCGTCACGGAAGTTGTGTCCGGCAGTGAAGAAGTAATGATGGGCAGGACTTCCCTCTGCTCTGATCGCTGGTCTGTTGTCCTATCATCATCAGCCATAGTGCTACATGGTGGCTCAACAATATCGTCCTCCTGAGTAGCCACCCTCGATAGCCGCCGGCTGTTGTTCTTGGACATGCGAGGTAAGACCGTCTCGTGCATTTCCGTTGCCTCATTTGTCTCTGGGGAGGGTGGATTTGGCTCGTGACGCTTGCTCTTTCGTATATTCCTATTGGGTGTCCGATCTGACTGGTCATCAAATTTCGACCTTTCCTCTGGAGGAAGCGGAGAAATTTGCTCGGTTCTGTCATATCGTACCCTAGATTTGGATAGCCGACGCTGGGCATCAGCAGACACCGAGAAAGAGCTCTTTCCTTGCACATCTGCCCCATCCACATCAGTATTGTCATTATACTCTGGTGGAGGGGGAGCAAGGAGGGGGGTCTCCTCATCGTCCAACTCCAGCGGGGTGGCCATGACTCCATCGAAGTCAGACTTGCTGCTGCGGCGCATATCCCGCAGACATTGCGAATATCGAAGTGAACGAGGCGGTGGTGGAACAATTGCAATTACCTCCTCAACGATGTCTTGGCTTTGCATGATCCTGGAACCACCTGGAGTAGGCTCTTGGCGGGTCGGACTAAGCCTTGGCTGCTTCACCGGCGACACCGAGCCAACATCTTCTCCTTCCGAGTCACCCTTGGTGTAAAGGCTGCGCTTGGACGAGTTCCTCGACGATTTTCGACGCAATTCCATTGTCTTGGAGAGCGCAATGTAGTTGACCAGCTCTGCTGTCTAAAATAAGATAATAAAATACATTCTTTGTCATGTGTTGGGTTCAATTACCTACCATTGGAACCTCTCGACGTCTGGATCGTGAGGGACGCTTCTGCCGCTCTTTGGACTGCCTTCGGCTCTCTCCTTGGGAATTGTCTTTAAAGCCGACGGGAGCTGGCGGAGGCATAGCCAAAGCCTCTTCGCTATAAGCAAGTTCTTCTCGCTCTGCAGATACAGTGCTGGACAGTGACTCGGTTTCTGTTTCGTTTCCCAGATTCCTTCGCATTATCTCCCGCTGAATATTCTGCTCCAGAACCTCTTGATGCTCTGCACTATTCTGCTTCCTATTCCCATTCAGAGGGTATACCCTGCCGAGGGAGTTTCTCTTGCGCAGATCAAGAATCTCATAGTTGCTCATCCGTTCCAGCTCCCTGGCAAACTGCTCTCCATTGATTGGGGCACTGGGCGCCTTGTTCAACGTGAGAGCAGTGGCGCCTTTGCGCTTTGACTTGCTTGATGCATTTGAGCGATGGAGGTTAAGCAGTTTTATGGAACTTTCCTGGTCATCTGAGGGCTTCCGATTGTTCCGCTTGCGCATCCGACTCTGTCTGGTAGTGTTACCACCGGCCGGTACCAGGTTCAAGGCACACGCGCTTGGCTGTTCATCGCTTTCATCGTCGGTCATAATTGCGTCCAGGTCCTCAACAATTTGAGGTGTTTTGTTATGGGAAACTCTCTTCGACGTTGATGATTCAGGATTACTATCAGATACTGCTGGAGCACTTGATTTCGGAGTACCAGCAGAAAATGTTGGTGCACTTGATTTCGGAGTACCAGCAGATACTGCTGGAGCACTTGATTTGGGATTATTAGCAGATACTGTTGGATCACTTGACTTGGGAATACCAACAGATGCTGTTGATGATGATACCCTAGCTACTCCAGTATCTGATGCAGCCGGTAAATGTGGTTGTGGTAAAGGGCCTGCTGCATCTGGCTTGGGACTAAAGGCCCCACCCATTGGTATAACTACCACGCTGCCATTCCTCGATAGATTGTGCACAATTTCGACTAGCTGCTGGGACTGCTGGGGCTGTGTTTCCGGTACAAAATAATCCTCCACCGGTGCCGATTCCCGTTCAGATCGATCCAGACTGTTTGGGATATCTGGCGCCAGAGTAGTCTCAAAGCGCCTCACACGCACCATTGGCATTTTCGAGTGTGATATATTTGGCGACGATCGCAATTGCTGCAATTGCTCAGATATAGGTCTCTTCTCGATCGTATAAGTCCGATGCCTATCAGAGGGAGTCAATGGACTTGATCCTGGGCGTGAGGATGGTACTTCCCCCTTCTGGCTCATCTGCATCATACTATTTTGAAATAAAGCTAGCCGTTTCTCACAAATTTCAGTGATTTCAGCAGCGAAGTCTGAACCCACAGCTGGTCTATTCATCTGCTGTGGCTCTGACGCCGGCTTTGGCTGTGGCTGTTGCTGCGACGCTGGTTGATTCTCAACAGCTTTTTCACTGCAGTTTGGAGTGCTGCTTATTTCTGGCACCTACAAGAAGAATTTTATACACAATTAACCCAACTAATTGGCATTGATATTGACTTACAAAGGGAAATGGACTCGAGGAGCTCCGACTTAGATTAGCTGCATCATCAAAGTCCTGCAAGAGCTGACGACGTCCGCAGCTCTGCGAGCGCCTGTGAATAGCATGGCGACGCAGCTTATCAGAGCCAGGAACATGGCCGCCTGTGCCACTACGTCTGGGAGGACGCCGTTGGGTGGGCGAGGGCGAATGTCTCACTGAACGCGGCGGCAGATTCTCATGCGGTGCCAAGTTTGAAGGCGACTGTGGCCCGTCTGAGTCAGGGGGCTCGGCCGCTGCTGGAATATTCGCATTGGCATTATCCAATTCTTGTAAAGGCTTCAATTTGTTCTCCTGAGTATCTTTTTGAGGCTTCTTTATAAGCCGAACATCGAAGTCCAGGTCAAAGGAGAAATTCCCAAAGACGAGTCCAGACGAGTTCTTGGGCTTTTGGGCATCCGCTGCCTTGCGCTGCAAGAATGCGGCAAGCTTCTGCGAGTTTGTAATGGGCTCGCTTAAAATATCGTCCAACTCAAGCGCTGTTTCATCTTTCTTGTTCTTCGACCTATAGACAATAGCCAATGAGAAAAAACAAATTTTATTGTTATTGCCTTGGTCCTTCGTGAAGGAGCATTCCCCTTGGGGCAACATACATTTTACCACTCTACACTTTTCATTGGTTATTTTTCCCGCTTAAATTAACTAACTAAATTCTCCACTTTTAACACAATTTTTAAATTCCGACGCACGAATGACGCCACAAGATGATAGTGACGCCACAAACGCTGCCAGACGATGATTTAACCATCGATGTTTTAAGCTATCGATCTATCGACATTTCTATGTAAGTTTTTTTAATTAAATCTGTATCCTGCTAGGCAATTTGATGTACCATTTGATGTATCATAAATATGGCAAGTTTTATCTGTTCCTCCACAAAATTATACAAACTTTTATAATTTGTTTGTGATGTTATCGATAGTAGTATCGATGGTATTGCTCACTGTTGCATTTAATAAACATTTATAATTATTTTTGATTGTAATGAATTTTGAAAATATTAATGTCCCGCAAAAACTGGTGCCTGACAACTATTGGAAGCTGGGACTGGCGGCGCAGCGCCCCAAGAAGCGTGGATTTAAAGAGCTCCTAGAAAAGGTATGAAGACCGACTTACACTGATATGTAAATATTATAAAAATCACAAGATATAATTGCAGCGAAAATTGCCGGTAGATGGGTGGCCTGATGAGCATATTGAAGAGCTGGTGCATCAAATAGCGTCATTGGATAGCAACAATTTTCCGCACAAAGTGGGATTGGGCGAGCGGGAGGCGCGCATCGCTTGTCGTAAGTAACGGCTCAGTTGGGTGGCATCCAACAGAGTATTTAATCATGTTGTAACTTGTCCCACGCAGGACTTGTGTCCCGACGTCACTACAACTTTGGGCATGGCATAGGACGCTCTGGCGATCTGCTGGAGCCGCAGCCCAAGGCAGCTGGCTCCACTCTGCTCGCACACCTCACGAATGCTCTGATCTTGGATCTAATGCAGGGGCTAGGCCTGCCCAGCTGCAGAGGCTGTTTTCTGGTGCCGATGTGCACCGGCATGACCATCACACTGTGCCTGCAGAGTCTACGCAAGCAACGTCCACTCGCCAAATATGTTCTCTGGTCACGCATCGACCAAAAGTCCTGCTTTAAAGCTATTACGGCCGCAGGTCTGGAACCCGTGATAGTCCCCTGCCTGGTGCAGCATCAAGCTCTGAGCACCGACGTGAATGCTTTCGAACAGAAGATCGAGGCTCTGGGTGCAGAAACCATCCTATGTCTGTACACGACCACCAGCTGCTTCGCCCCACGAAACAGCGACAGCATCGTTGAGATTGCCCAGCTGGCCAAGCGCTGCGACCTGCCTCATCTCGTGAACAATGCGTATGGGCTGCAGATCGGTGCCATCTCACGGCAGTTGGAGCGGGCCCATCGATTGGGCCGCATCGACTACTTTGTGCAGAGCACAGACAAGAATTTCCTGGTACCTGTGGGTGGTGCCATTGTGGCCAGTTTCGACCAGAGCCTCTTGTGCCTGGTGGGCAGTAGCTATGCGGGTCGAGCCAGTGGTTCCCAAGCGCTGGATGTCTTCATGACGCTGCTGTCACTGGGACGGACCGGCTACCACTCGATGATCCAGAAGCGGGAGGATAACTTTACTTATCTCAAGGAACAGCTCATAGAATTCGCACAAGGCCATGGCGAACAGGTTATTGAGAGCAGGGATAACTTTATATCGTTGGCCATTACGTTGGGAACTCTCTGGGCCGCCACGGGTCAAGGGTCAAGTATTACGCAGCTGGGAGCCATGCTGCACATGCGCGGAGTCTCCGGGGCTCGCGTAGTGGTCCCTGGTCAAAGCAAAACTATAGATGGTCATGCATTCTCAGGTCAGTTCAAAAATACTTTCAGTTAACAAATCTTTTCTATTCGTTGGAGTCGTTCTATTCAGATTTTGGTTCCCACCAGTCGAATCTGGAACTGCCCTATCTCACCGTGGCGGCTGCCCTGGGCATCACTCGAGAGGAGATTGATAAGTTCTTTAAGATCTTTCACAAATGCTGGACGAAATTGAACCAGTCGCTCTGCGAAAATAAATCAAAACAATAATCAAGATTATTTTATTTTTGATTTTATTTACTAGCTAACCCGGCAAACCATTTGCCGCAGTACTGTAATCTATTTCTGTTGCTCCGCCAGAAGTCATTTGGAAGCATGAATTGAATGTGCGAATGTACTGAATGGCTCGTACTCGAATGCGAGACGAAGAAACAAAGCGGATGTAAATAAACGACTTAATTGTTGGCGTAGTCTGCCATTTTCTCTGTGAGTTGTAATTACGAACCGGCGTGCTTGTAGAACATGTAAAATGTGTGCCTTCGACCGATCCTTTGGATATTTAATGAAACGTATTTGAAAATATTTGAGACTGAAACTTGCCTAGATTTTATATCCAAGGGAATTAATGTATTAATTATTGAAATATATCACAACTCAAACAAGCCATAATGCAAACAGTAATGGCTCAGGAGGCCGCACAGAAGCAGTCTGTGGAGCAGGTGGAACCGCACTGGCGTGAACAGATACAGATTCCGCGCGAAAGGCATGAGGCGATGCGAACCGCCCAACAACGGTATCAGGCAGCCATACGCACGGCCCGCAACCAAGTACAATCTGTACGCGGAAGACAAGGAGGCGCACATGAAGCGAGAGTACAACCGCATCAACACGAGTACGAACTGTCGCTGGCTAAGATCAAGCGGGCTCTTAACGAAGAATATGCCAGCCATGAATCCGGGTGCCAGTAGATGGGAGCAGCACTGAATCAGTGGATGGCAAAAAAGCAGACCGAAATGCATTTGCAATGAAAACGAAACGCTTGGCGAGTGAAATACAGGAAACGGAGAAGCTCGATCAGCAATTGGAGCCACAGGATTGCAGAAATATAATCATCGCCTCCATGATAACTGGAGGTTACTTCGTACTGAATAATCCAAGAAAAATGTTGCATCAAATATGTCATTCGGAATGTCGGAATGTGAAGAGCCAGTATATTTGGTTTCCTGTATATAAAACAATTGGGGTAGTAATCGTACATGCTTTTAACGACTTACTTACGATAAATAAACCTATCTACTATTGCTGGGCTGGTTTTCCTTGTCGCGATGCGACTCGCGACCCTTCCTCTCCAGGCGCTGATTCATTTGGAGCTCGATCTTGGCCAGCGACACTTCGTACTCGTGCTTGATGCGGTCGTACTCTCGCTTCATGTGCGCCTCCTTGTCTTCCGCGTACAGCTTGTAGTTGTGGGCCGTGCGTTTGGCACTCTGATAGCGCTGTTGGGCGGTTCGCATCGCCTCCTCCTGCGTTTCGCGCAGCATCTGCAACTGTTCACGCCAGTGCTGTTCCACCTGCTCCACAGACTGCTTCTGTGCGTCCCACTGATTCATTACTGCCTTCATCGACTTGCGCTCGGAGTCGATGCTTGCATGCTGCTCGTCCAGAGCCCGCATGAGCTCTGCTATGCGCTGATTCTTTGCCTGAATCTCGCTGCGGCATTTCTGCAGCATGGCCTTCTGCTTCTCCTCCTTCGCCTCCAGCATTTCCCCGATCTTCTCCCGCTCCGCCAGTATGGTTTGCTTGAGCAGTTCGACTTCGTTCTGACGCTGCTGGAGCTCGCCGCAGACCAACTGGTGCTTGCGCTGCAGGCTACGATTTTTTTCCTCCGACTGCTGCAGGCGGGCAGTGAAATTCTTCAGCTCCACCGCAAACAGTTTGGCCATTTCGTCACGAACGCGCTGCTCGATGCGCTTGATGCCCTCTTGGCCGAGCTCAATCGAGGGACCCCCGGGGGGACTTGCCGTCTTCTTCTGATTCTCGGCCGTCGCAGTCGCCTCCTCCTGCTGCCTAATGTATTCCTCCATTTGCTTGGCCTTGTCCTTGAGCTCCTTGAGGAGACTCTCCTGCTGGATGGACTGCTCAACTTTCTCCTCGAGTTCCGTCTGGAAGGCCTTGGACTGCTCCAGCTCCTCCGCGAGCTGCTTTAACTCTTTGGCCTGCCTTGCGTTGATATTCTGGAGCTTGAGCATTTGGATCTCAGCCTGAAAGAGGCCGCATCCTTGATGTAAAGGTACCAGTATCTCTGGTGTTTTCAAACAAACACTCACCTTTGTGATTTCGGACCACTTTTCCACACATTTGCTGCAGTTCGCGGAGCTCTCCTTGGCCGCTACGGCCACCTCTTCGCACTTATCGTGCTCGCATTTATCGCGCAGGGCCTGCAGCTCTCGCTGGTGGCTGAGCTTCTCAGTCTCCAGAATGCTGGCCAGCTCCCCCGACTTGAGCTCCGCGATTTGCACGGCTCGCTGGAGGTTGGCCAACTGCTGGCGCTGCTCCTGAAGCTCCTTGACAGAGTCCAGGTCGCGCAGCTTGCGAAGCTCGTAGCTGAGCGTCTCCTTGTCGTTGGCAATATTTGCGTAGAGTTTCTTCAGCCGTTCCACCTCGCTTTGGGCATCCTTCAGCAGGATCTTGTGTCGTTCCAGTTCCAGACGCAGGTTGTCTGTTGTGTCACGAGATCGCAGCTGGCGGTTATCCTGCAGGAGCTGCTCATAGTTTTGTTTGAGGCTCTCGTGGTCTTGGTTCACCCTCTCCAGATCGACCTGAACCTTTTTCAGCTGGATGTCGATCTTCTGGCGATGCTCCGTCACCGCATCCCGCTCAGCCATCAAGGCATTTACCTCCTCCTGTAGTTTTGAATCATTTTTGGATCTTCGGTCCAGTTCCTCCAGCTCCTGTTGCATGTTCTTAACGCGGCTCTCCAGCCGCATCTTGTCCTCTTTTAGTGTGGCAAGCTGCACCAGCGACTGGTTCTCCTGCCCGCGAAGCAGCCGCAGCTCGTGGTTGCGCTCTTCCAGCAGCTTTTCCAGCTTGCGCACCTCCTCCCTCATGTTCTTGAGATTGGCCAGTGCTCGGTAGAGCTCCTGCTTGATGTGGCCAATGCGATCGACGGGATTGAGTGGCGTGCTGCCCACCAAACGCGTCGAAGCAGCCCGCGGACTCAAGCGAGCAGTGGACGACTCGTCCGTTTGGTTCTGCTGCAGCAGCGTGTCCATCAGATCCAGCTCTGCTGTGGTCCCACTGAGGTGCCCGTTCAGCAGGGCTATGGTCTGCTCCATGGCAGCGATCTTGGCCTCCAGCTCCCTAATGTAGTTCTGCTGGCGCGTGCACTCTGGCTCGTAGTTGGGCTTCCCATCCATCTGCTGGCACCGACTCTGGGCCACATCCAGGGCAGCGTTTAGCTCATTGATCGTGGCTGCCTTTTCCCGCAGCGTGGCCTCCAGGTTGGACTGCAGGGCATTGTAGCGAGCAGTCATTTTTTCCAGTTCGTTATGTTTTTTGTTCAGCTGATCAGTGCCTTGGCTGAGCTGCTCCTGCAGAAGATCGCACTGGGCGCGATGATGCTCCTCCAACTGTCTGATGCGGGAGTCCGCGATGCGATCGTCCCGCTTGTGGGCATCACGCTCCACCATGTCGTACTTTGACTTTAGATCGGAAACCATCGCCCGTGTCATCTCCAGCTGCCCCTCCAGCCGGGTGTTGTCCTCCTCCAGACGTTTCTTGTCCTCCCGTAGCTTCTCCATGGTGCTCTCCTGGTTGGAGCATTTCGCCTTCGTGTCTACTAGCAGCTCATGGGTATTCTGCTTCTCGCGAAGTGCCCGATCCAGCTCCGCCTGCAAGATACGCCCGCGCTTTTGCTCTTCATCAAGCTTTTTCAGGGCATCTGTTGCTTGCTGACCGAAATGATCGCGCTCATGTGACTGGGATTCCAGCATGATTTTTAGCTTTTGAATTTCGTTGGCAAGCCGATGGTGGTGGTGGTCCTCCTCTGCTGTTGGCTGTGTGTAGCCTTGCTGATGATGGTGGTGCGGCTGTTTGGGCATCAAACCCGACTGGAAATTCGTAGTCGAGTCGATTGTACTTTCGTCATCATCCAGATCATCGAAGGCATTCTCCAGCAAGTTGCCCAGCTAAAGCACAGTGTTATCAGATATGTGTTCTTGTGCGCATATTGCACTAACATTTACTCACCTCCTCGTCGCGTCGTTTCTGATCCTCCAGATCCTCCAGAGGGCTCGGCCCCCTGAAAAAGGCTCATGCCCGGCGTATTCATGTTCAATTTATTTGGCTGAACCGACGAGCCAAGCCCTCCTGATGCTATTAGTTTTTTCAAATTTTTGAAGGCACAGGCGCTGCCTTTTTTGTTTTTGTAGCGCCAGCCTGCTGCTTCTTATATATTTTTGATATTTATCGATATATCGTTATATTTAGTTCACTTCTCTAGGTCAAACACCTTGCAACTTTCTTAGAGATGCGCCATTTGTATCGCATAAACTAACTCCTTGCCACTAACCATACAGTATATACTTATATTGTCTTTGGTATGACAGTTCATACAACGAAAAGGGCGCAGCTGAGGTTTCTGTCCAGCACTCCCAGGTCTTCGGCTAGGGTGCTGGGACCATTCGGCTGTGGTGCTGAGACGTTCGGGTTGTGGGCCTGAGACGTTCGGCATTTTTTCGACATGTTCGATTCATGACGAGATGCGAAAGCAAGCCGAGAATTGCAAGTGGATGTGTGTACACAGCCACGACAAAACATTTATGAATTCTTAATTTCCGAAACCGTTTTGTGTTTGTTTTGAGTTTCGTTTCCAGGTTACGTAAATGTGTGTGTGCCATGTATTCACACATACTGTGCTTGTGTGTGGGCTCTACAATTGTTGGCCGCTTGAATTGGTTTTTGGTTTTGTTTTGAGGGCTGATTGTGATGTAGCGACCTGTGCTGACCTGCCGCAATATAACTGAGGAATGGGCAGATATTGTATAAATACAATATATAAAAATAAAGGATGTTATCTCTGCTCATATCTCCTAAACTAAAAAAATTATCTTGAAAATTAGATTCGCTAAAGCTCTGGAAAATTTTCTACTAGATGTGTACATTTATTTTATTCAAAGCGTTCATAAAATATTTTTTCGTTTTGTTTTGAAAAGCTGTTGTGCGACGGGCGCGCCGGGTATTTCTTCCATTTTTTTTAGTCAATCTCTCGACCCGTGTCGAGCGACAGAATCGCCAACAAAATATGAAGTCTGACGACGGGAATAGGTCCAGGGCCGCATTAGCAGTTGACTAGGGCCCCCCTAGAGATAACAAAAAAATTTTGTTGAAAAAACAAAACTCCAAATAATGAATAAAAAATATATAAAATATAAAAATAATAGCCACTGAGAAAAATACAAAATAAAGGTGGGCCCCAGATTGATGGTTGCCCAGGGCCCGGTTGAGGGTTGATCCGGCCCTGAATAGGTCGCTACATCACATCAGCCCTCAAAACAAAACGGAAAACCAATTCAAGCGTCCAAAAATTGTAGAGCCCACACACAAGCACAGTATGTGTGAATACATGGCACACACACACACACACATGTTACGTGAAATCTCGAACAAAGTCGGTTTCGGCAGCTAAAAATTATTCTATGCATACAATCATATATTTTGGAGTGTTACACGTGCACACAACACATGCATGCTTGCTGCCAGTCGGCTCGTAGAACGCCATAAGCCGAACGCGGCCATTCCCAGAGCCGAAGATGAACATACGCTGCAAACTCAGCTGCTCCCCTTTCGTTGTATGAACTGGCACATCTATATACTGTATGGTTAGTGCCTTGGGTAACGAAAGGGAAATGCTTCCTCAGCCATTAGCTGTCTCTTGCAGAGAGTCATGTCCGCATCCATTATGCCAGAGAATTATGTCCCGACAGCCCGCTAAGCCTCTGCCTAGGTGCTATAATGATTTAGGACTTGCTGAAAGAATGTTTCAACTTAAGCTTTAAAATGTAGAAATTTTCTGATTCCAATTGCTGCCACTTAAGATCGATTACCTTTCCCCTGCCACAGCCACACCTACAGCCATAGAGAGGGGAATACACCACCACCATTCTAAAAAATCATGCTCAAAAATGTATAAACTGACTGAGTACGGGTAAAAGTAGAGTCGCGTCCCCAGGAGCGACTCACACGTTCCTTCTCGTTGAATCTAGCTTATATTGATTCAAAAATTCTAGCAGCGCTGACTACAACCCCGAGTGCAAACGCTGTGACTTTTCTAAGAACGTGAACTGTACCGTAAGCTGTGATCGGAATATTATCTCTGGACGTCGATATGCAATAGCTGCACCATCAAGTAGCCCATGCGACACCAAGCCGAGGCCAACTGACCGGGGGACGCTGCCGCATGACGCGTGTAACCGAACCGATCGCGAACTTGCAGGAGAGATAATAGTTCGACTAATATTCGAGTAAAATCAGAGCTTAACACAACTAAAATAGGTAAAAACATCCCAAATTATCAAAGAATAGTAGTAAAAACAGAAACGGTATATTAATATTAGTGTTTTATATATTTATTTCTTTATTCTGACTATAAAAATGAGCCGATCTGATTCAGATTGTAAATTATAACGAATGAACAAAAAATTTAATTTGGAGCTAAGTCAGCCCTGGTGACTGTGTCGGTTTGGGTTTCACCATCGCAGTTCTCCTGCTCAGCCTCGGGGACTAAGTCATTCTCCGGCTTACACGATTAGAGGTCCTTCAGTTTGTCAGTTACTGGTTCCGCCAGTTTGTCCGTTACTGGTTCCTTCAGTTGGTCCGACAATGGTGCGTGGGGCTGAACGAGTGCCCACCTTTCCCGTCCCTAGCTTTTTTCCCAAGCGGAGTAGCATGCCCGGGATGAGGGGCTCATCGACGCTGCGGCGAAGATCAGTATATTCGACCTGTACGGCGCGAGGCGGCTGCTCGCTTAAAGGGCTGTGTATGGGCAGCTTGGTGACAAGGCGGACCTTTGCAAGATCATTGTCAAAAAGCTTAAATATTATAAAATGTCTCGCCAGCTCAAGATTTAATTACAATACACACACTATACTTTATGTTACAAAAGCAATTATAATGGCAAAAATAGACTATGCTTTATTTATATATGGTTTCACACAAAACACAACATTAAAAAAAATTAAAACCCCTTTCAACTCAGCTATTCGAATGTCTCTCGGAGCATTCGCATCCACGCCAATAAATTCCACCGATAGAACTCAAAAGAGACCTTTTGACAGCCAAATTATCAAAATGTCTGATAAACTCTTTCAACTCCCCTATTGCCAATATTGAAAGAAAAACACAAAAATAAAATAAAACGAGAAGGAACGTGTGAGTCGTTTCTGGGGACACGACTCTACTATACCCGTACTCAGTCAGTATATACATTTTTGAGCTTATGATTTTTTTAGAATTTTAGAGAAAAAAAAAATAATAAAATAAAAAAAAGTTTACATTTTACATTTTTTTGCTACATCTGCTATCTACATCTACATATACAATGTCTATTCTACATCTAACATGTAGATTGTACATGTTCCATTCATATTCTACATCTCCTCCGCTAGGGGTTGCTCGCGCACTGAACGCGGCAGAGTGTGCGAGCGAGAAGGAAAATGAGTTGCGTTGTTGTTGGCAGGAGGGGGCAGGGGAAGCAACAGAAAATTAATTTCTTCATTCTGGCTATTATTAGGAAGGGGGCGGGGCGAAATTTTGAAATACACTTGTAGCAGTGTGATATCACATGAGTCTGGAAACCAAATTTGGTTGCCCTAGCTCTTATAGTCTCTGAGATCTAGGCGCTCAACAAGACGGACAGACAGACAGACGGACAGACAGACATGGCTCTATCAAAGACAATATAAGTATAAGATGCGTAACGCTCATACATTTCAATTGCCATATGCAAGACAATTTTTCGGCCAGCGACGAAATTCGCGCCATCTCGCTCGCACAAATTTGAGAGCGTACGAATCTAAAAATAGAATCCGCTTGCATGTGTAAGTACACACAGAACAGCAAGTGCGTATGTGTGCGTACTTGTGCTAAGCGGATGATTTTCGAGACGGAAACCTTTTTATGAGTTGAGAAACGAAATTATATACCGGCGTTGAATACCTGAATACCCTAATGGCAATTATTCCAATGTGATTCATGGAATTTCATGTATTAAATATATTATGTATTTTTATATATGTATATCCGATCATCATTATCGAATATACCATCTTAAAATAAATTATCGTTGGAGTGATATACATATACAATATAACAGTTTTTTAATATTGGGGTGGTAAGCGTCTTGCAAAATTAACTTACACTTATAAAGTGAAGGGTATATTTCGACAGCGCTGTAAAAAACGTATGCATGTGCACACATACAGTCGTCGCGACGACTCGGCTCGGCTAATAGCCAGAATGAAGAAATTAATTTTCTGTTGCTTCCCCTGCCCCCTCCTGCCCACAACAACGCAACTCATTTTCCTTCTCGCTCGCACACTCTGCCGCGTTCAGTGCGCGAGCAAACCCCTAGCGGAGGAGATGTAGAATATGAATGGAACATGTACAATCTACATGTTAGATGTAGAATAGACATTGTATATGTAGATGTAGATAGCAGATGTAGCAAAAAAATGTAAAATGTAAACTTTTTTTTATTTTATTATTTTTTTTTATACCCGTACTCAAAAAAGAGTTAAGGGGTATATTAGATTTGTGGTAAAAGTGGATGTGTGTAACGCAGAGAAGGAAACGTTTCCGACCCCATAAAGTATATATATTCTTGATCAGCATCAATAGCCGAGTCGATAGAGCCATGTCTGTCTGTCCGTCTGTCTGTCTGTCCGTCTTGTTGAGCGCCTAGATCTCAGAGACTATAAGAGCTAGGGCAACCAAATTTGGTTTCCACACTTATGTGATATCACACGGCACATTTTTAAAGATACGATAAAACTAAAAACGCAGTATCGTAGAGAATGCCCAAATCTACTAGATTGCCGAATCTAAATCATATCGGATCATAATTATAGCCAGAATGAAGAAATTAATTTTCAGTTGCTTCGCCTGTCTCTCCTCCCGCAAACGACAACGCAACTCATTTTCCTTCTCGCTCGCACACTCTGCCGCGTTCAGTGCGCGAGCAACCCCTAGCGGAGGAGATGTAGAATCTAAATGGAACATGTACATTGTACAATCTACATGTTAGATGTAGAATAGACATTGTATATGTAGATGTAGATAGCAGATGTAGCAAAAAAATGTAAAATGTAAACTTTTTTTTATTTTATTATTTTTTTTTTTTCTAAAATTCTAAAAAAATCATAAGCTCAAAAATGTATATACTGACTGAGTACGGGTATAAGTAGAGTCGTGTCCCCAGAAACGACTCACACGTTCCTTCTCGTTTTATTTTATTTTTGTGTTTTTCTTTCAATATTGGCAATAGGGGAGTTGAAAGAGTTTATCAGACATTTTGAT